TGCAAGTCTCTCGTGAGGAGGAACCTTCAATTAAACAAAGAAAAGCACCCCACATGGACCTCCAAGCTAGACTTGGGATAGAAATATCAACTTCCTTTTCTCCTTGGATCATTTCCAGTCACCTCAGCACACCACTTCTCTGATGAATATGTTATGTGTGCACAATGTCCCAGGATTCTCCATGCTGGGCACACAAGTTTCATCAAGACAACTCTAAGACCTTCCTTTGCCATCAGCTGTCGCTGTTACTCCCTCATACCCTAAGGCAGCTGAGAGGAAGGGCCAGTCTCTGTGGGCTTTTTCTTCTCTCTAGCTCTTACCTAGGATCTCATGACTACCGATTGTAGGTTCAGAGGATTCTGCCGACCCTCCGAGAATGACAGTCCCAGACCTTGGGGACCTTACACGAAGGTGTGGGGCTGCATGAGGAAGAAAGGGAATGACACGCACCTCAAGTCTTTACAGCTTTCTACAACATTAAAGCAACGTTACCCGAGCCGATTTCACAGGCTCATTACAGCGAGACAGTGTTTCATTTTCGTGAAGTGTCCCCCAATACATCCTCTCTCATTTCTCTTCTGCTTAATCGGAATTATGAAACTATCTGTAAATTGTAAGTGTATTAGATACACATATAAGAAGACTCATATAGTCAAAATAATATTGTATTTTATTCCATGTGAGAAAGAAGCATGAAGGAGTAGAGATATAATTCAGTAGCCAGGTACTTGTCTAGTGTAGATGAGACCTTGAATTTGATTTCCTATTACCCCTACCCAATCACCCCTAGAAAAGTAAAGGAAGCCTGGGGGCTGCTATGGTGGCTCTATCAACAGCAAGGACCCAGACTCTCTCTGTTCCATCATCTTCAGTGGGTACTTTTCATCCTCAAGTTGACCTCATGGTACCTTTCGGTTGCTGTTGGACCCAGCGCAGCCCTGCTCTGGATAGGAGGAGGAAGACTGAAGAAGGGTCGCACCCCCAGGCTAATTCCTTTCATTTGAAGTGATTTCTCATTGGTTACTTCTACCAGGAAGGCTGGGAAACATTGTTTAAAAACAGATACAGATCTACCTTTGTCTGTTTAGAAGTTCACTGCTAACGAAGTTAGATGAAATGATTATCAGGTTGATAATTTATAGTCTCCGACCAGAGAAATTGGGGCTAACGGGTTAAATAATGAACTATGGGCCATGGCCAGCTGGTTGCTTATGGAAGCTCCAAGATGAGGCCTTTGATGAGCTCTTTGATGAATAACACTAAGTGAGACATTGACATCATATGGTATCTAAATGAACTCTTTTGTACCTTAAAGAGCACCAATTGCATATGCAATTATAAATGTATCCTTTTCTTCATTTGGTAAAATTTTGGTTTGTGCAGTATTTCCTCCCCTTGACAACCCAGGGACCTGGCTTGCCCCACAGTAGAGCCCAGTGCCCATGACTTCAAGTTTTGCTATGGGTACCATCTTTTCTACATGGTGCTCTTTCCATGTGAATAATCAAGGCAGTCTGATTGCAACGATTCTCTTCAATTTGTTGTTGTTTCAAGTGTGTTAATTACGGCACCATTGTGATTAGATATCTGGCAGAAACAAGAGAGGAGGGAATCTATTCTGGTTCATAAAGTTCATAGTTCACAGTTCAGAGAATACAGTCCACCATGGTGGGAAAGGCATGACAAAGATAGCTTAAGACAGCTGGTCACATCCCAGCTACCAGCAAATAGCTCAGGCTGGAAGTAAATGGACTATAACTCATAAAGCCTAGCCTCTGTGGCCCGAGTCCACCTGCCAGCCAGGGCTCCTGTCCCAAAGGTCCCAGAACCTCGCCAGACAGTGCCACCAGCTGGGGAATCAGGTGTTCAGACACTCAAGCATGTAGGAGATGTCCCACATTCAAACCCAAACAGAAAGTGTGTTTGAACTCGTTTTCAGAACTGGCTTTTTCACTGTTACCTGTCTCAGGGGTGGTAGGATCTTCATGACATCCATAAGGAGATAGTTCGATTTTCCTCTGAGTATAATCCGTGAGTCTTGTTTCCTTGTTGATGATTGTGAAAGAAGCAGTTGCGTCCCCCTCGCCCCTGCTTTTACTTAAAACAGATTCTTTTCTCATATCACATACCCTCAATAGAGTTTTCCCCTCCCTCTACTCCTTCCAATTCCTCTCCACTCCGCTCCCCTCTGGAACCCACTCCCTTTCTATCTCTCTTTAGAAAAGAATGGGCTCCTAAGAGATAGCAACCAAACATGGCAAAATAAAACATAATAAACTAAAACACAAACCGCCACATTGAGGCTGGACAAGGCAACCCAACAGGACGAAAAGAGTCCTAAGTGCAGACACGAGAGTGAGAGACCCACTTGTTTATACACTTAGGAGGTCTATAAAAATACTAAGCTGAAAGCTAAAATATATACACAGAGGACCTAGTGCAGACCTGTGCAGGCTCTGTGCTTGCTCCTTCAGTCTCTGAGCTCATATAAGCCTTCTCAGTGTATCTAGAGGACTTTGCTCTCCCAGTGTCCTCTACCTGCTCTGGCTCTTACATTCTTGTTGCCTCCTCTTCCTCAGGGTTCCCCGAGCTCTAAGGGGAGGGACATTTGGAGACACACCAGTAAGAGCTGTGTGTTCCAAGAACACTTACTCCCTCCCTCCTTCCCTCCCTCCCTCTCTCTCCATCCCTCCCTCCTTCCCTCCCTCCTTCCCTCCCTCGTTCCCTCCCTCCCTCTCTCTCCATCCCTCCCTCCTTCCCTCCCTCCCTCTCTTACTCTTCTCTCCCTCTCTTTGTAATGTCTGGCTGTAGGTCTCTGCATCTGTTCCCATCTGCTACATTATAAATAAAAGGAAATGTTTCCAGCCCTGGTTTTAAAAAGTTATGCCTTATATTTTATGATGATATGCCACAAAAGAGTAATTAAAATATAACTAGTTGCACCCCCCCCCAAATCTCTCTTCTTTTAACAATTGGGTTTTGGTTGGAGGACAGTAAGAGATTCTGGTTGCATAGGTTCTTTATTTTAGGTTTTATTTTATTAAGTCATGAATGAAATCCCACTGGAATGTTGGCTTTCCTGATAAGATGTAATACAGATACCCCTTGGAATGCACAGATGGCCACTGAAGTTGCATGGAGTGGGGCAGTTGGGATGTTAGGAAACGAGAAAGCCAGTAGAGTCTTCCAGTGTCTCTGGGGGGTCTTTCTGTAAGTAAAAAGTGTTGTAGGAGGCCGCTTGTTCGTTTCCAGCTGCTCAGTCCCAAAATAATGCCACAGAAACCATATTGTTTGCAATACTGTTTGGCCAATAGCTTAAGTGTATTTCTAACTAACTCATAAATTAACCCATCTCCACTAATTTGTGTATTGCCATAAGGCTGTGGCTTACCACGTAAAGTTGCGGTGTCTATCTCCGGTGGGGCTATATGGCTTCTCTCTAACTCTGCCCTTCTTTCTCCCAGCATTCAGTTTAGTTTCCCCTGCCTACCTCTGTTCTACCCTACCAGGCCAAGCCAGGTCTTTATTAACCAATGCTATTCACAGCATACAGAAAGAAATCCCACATCAGGAAAGTAGCTGAGTTCAAGAGGCATCTCTGAGAGAAGAGAGCAGACTACCATGAACCCACATGATCAAGGATTTCAAAGCTGACAATTTCAGACATGCCACAACCACAGGAAAGATGTACTGCTTGTGCTGTGCCAGCCATTTATCTGAGCAGAGGCAGTGGGCCTTGGCCTCTTGACTGTGTTCAAGTTGTTCCAGAAGAAGAGGTGTTGAGTATCACCCACCTTCCACTCCGGGGCTCCTCTCTTATGCTAAGGCAGACTCTTCAGTCCTTTCTTACTTTTCAACTGAAAACTGTATCATTGAAAACAATTCTTTTAACATTTGGGAGTCTTCACTTAAGATGTTCGCTTTTGTTTCTATGATGAATGCAGAGGAAACTTCTGGGGGAGTGGATACAGTTACACATGAACAGATGACCATAGCATTAGTTAGTAACTCAGTTAATTAGTAAACACACAACCACAGCTTTAATTCAGATGCTCTACTGAATGAATGAGAGGTGAAAGTTTCCGAAAGATTTTCTTTCTAAGAAGAATTATGCTTCAGAAAAATAAAAATAGTGTAATCAGTTAAGGTACAAAAAGTCAATTATGTGAAAAAATATATTGGCATCAAGTCCTCACTGCATTGCCTACTACCTATGAATTCATGTTTAGGAAAAGGAAAAAATGCCTTTAAGGAGCTAGGCAGGCAGAGCAGACTGCAACCCCAATACTCTGAAGCTGAGGCAGGAGAATCAAGATTTCCTTGCCACACAGTGTGAGACACTCTGTACAAAAGCAAAACAAAAGTCATCCACTTAAAAGTCATTGTGTGTGTGTGTGTGTGTGTGTGTGCGTGTGTGTGTATGTTCTGCTGCTGGTTTTGTTGCTGTTTAAGGAAGGCAGAAGTTAGCTTCAATTACTGAGGAGTTTCAGAAAGACTTAAAACATACACAAAGACAAAGGCACTGGGACAATGTTGGCTGGACAGGCAGTTTATACCAAAGCTACCATCAGTTCTAGCGTAGTTTAACTCCTGCTGCAGCCACAGTGATGGGAATGGAAAGTCTATACATTCAGTTAGTGATTTGCATACTGGAGCCACATGCAAATACTGGAAGAGAGGCCCAGAGCGCAGGTCTCTGCATTTCCCACACTGTTCTGAACTCTTTTCTCACTTGCAATCAATACCACACAGCCTACTGCTTAGTCACGTGATACTCTTGTTTGAACACTAAGTAGACTGGGAGATCACATGCTGTAGAGACAAAGGCTATAGCCAGTATGTCTCTCTCAGTTCCTTTTACTTCTCTGCATTCATCCATCTATCCATCTGTCTAGTGAGTACTAAAAGCCATGCCTAGCTCTGACTACGTCAAGAGTATGACCTGCAGAGGGTCTGTAGTTCTGAGAGGTTTGGGTGTGAGTGAGTGAACAAGAAAAACACCAGAGGTGGTAAATATGATAGAAGAACTAAGGTAACACAGAAGAAGGGATGCTGAATCTGAATTCCTCTCCAAGAATGACCTGAATGACCTGAATGACCAAGAGCTTCCAAAACCAACTGGGTTGGCCTATGCAGTAAACCCACAGAAGCCCTGCGGAGCCAGAAAACAGCAAGAGAAAGGGTGTTTGGAATGAGCTGGGATGACGGCACCAAACAGTTCTCATTATTTCTAAAGGCCGCTGTTAAGATTGTATATGGAAGGCTGCTTGGGATTTTACCTGAAAAAATTCAATGCTCTGATTTACACTTTTAAAAGATTTCACTGGCCTGGTGTGTGCAGTGGGAAGTGAATGAAGAAAGAGAGCAGTTGCATTATCTCAACATCACAGTAGCAACATTATCACAAGGTTTGCTGATGGGTCAGAGCCCCATATAAAAAGTAAATACTGCTTTTGCAGAGGATCTGAATTCAGGTCCCAGCACTCATGCTGGGCAGTTTACAACTGTCTATAATGCTGGCTCCAGGGAACCAACAACTTTTCTGGCTTTCACAGGCAACTGCTCAACTATAGAAGGAGAGAGAGAGAGAGAGATGGAGGGAGGGGAGGGGAGGAAAAGAGGAAGGGAGGGAAGGAGACAGACACAGACAGAAGAAGAAATCAAATACTGACCATATATTTGGCATAAGAAATGGCCCAAATGAGGATGGAGGAGGAGCAGGTGTGCTTGAGGGAAGATGGGAAGGAAAAGAGTTCTTCTTAGGGATGCTCATTGAAGACATTAAGATTGAAAGGCCAATCAGGCAGCTAAATACAGTATCCAAATGAGAACTCACCAGCCCACATACGGTATCTGAAGCCATGGCATTGCATAAAATTTCATCCAATGGTTACGTGGACTATTTGAAAAGGGGGGAGGGATTCCTAAACAGCAAGTAATATTGGCTGTCAGCAAACCAGCAAACAAAACAAATAAGATTTTCATAATGTATCAGAAGGCAGAAAATGAGTATCCAATTCTTTTCTAATTTTTGGCAAGAAAGGACATTAATTGGCATGCATGTTGCTTTAATATCTTCCCGAAGTCATTGGAACTAAGAGCCCTTGATGGAAATCAGAGAGGAATGGGAGAGAGGACAGTGTCTCCTCATTGGGGTGAAGTGAATATCTATGTATATTTCACATGGTTCACACACAGGACTGTGAGTGAATACATTATTCTTAAGCAGAATATTTGAATAACATCTGCCTGGAATGTCTGTTGAGAGAAGCCAAGGCAGGAACTCAGAAGCAGGTACTGAAGGAGAAGCCATGAAGGATGCTCCTTGTGGCTTGTACAGCCTGCTTTCTTATGCACCTCAAGACCATCTGCTAAGGGATGGCACCGCCCACAGTGGGTAGGCTGCAGGTCAATCCATTGGAGGCATTTTCTCAATTAGGATTCACTCTTCCAAGCTATGTCTAGGTTTGTGTCCAGTTGGTGAAAACACAGCTGACAGAAGCCCCATTCTAACCCATGAACTTGCTCGCTAGTTCATAGAGAAAGCACCAGCCATGGGCTTCCTCTTGCGCCGTCATTCCATCTCCTTACCCACATGCTCCTCTGCCCTGTACAATGTGCATTGAACACTTCTCCTTGCCTACTAGAGGATGTACCCCACAATAATTATTTCCTTATCCTTCACCATGAACTGTCTAAATAGTGGATTATTCTCAACAGCATATAAATATGCTAATTTTTGCTAGTCTGAAAAAAGTTTTATTCCCAATTCTCCTCTATTGGCAGGCTCAATTTAATTGTTCACCTAGAAAGCTAAACCTAGAATAGTTGTTTGTTTTTGTGGTACCTTTTCTCCCTGATCTGTGGGAGCCTGCTCTAATCAAGCCCTTCTACCATTCTGTAGACATTAACCTTCCCAAATTCATCAACAATTGCCCCATTCCTAATTCAGAGTCATTTATCCATCCTCTACCTTCAAGACAACATGCTGACTTTCCCCTTACCTCAGTGGGTCTATATTCCGTTGCTGGATCTGTGTTTCCTTATTCGTCAAGTTTCCATATTACTCTAATCCCCCCAAAGCCTTTGCCATCTTTAATTCCCGGCTATAAAGAACACAACAAACAAATCCACAAATCCTCCTCCTGGAGACCATGCTCCAACCACAAGTTCAGCTAAACTAACCTGTACAAGTTGCACACATCTCGGAGACAGGATTTCAGGTTCCCCAATCCTCTGCGAACCTCAGATGGCTGCCGCTATTCTCATACAAGATGGGAGAAGGGCCATCTCCTCTTCCTCCATAATTCTACAAGAAGCAAGTGACTGGTGCAATGGGGGGAGACTTGTGATTAATCCTATGCAAGGCTGGTGATTGCTCATCCCTTTTCCCTGAGAGGCCTCCCTGGTGGGACTGGAAGCTGTTGCTGTGATTGGCTGAACACATTCCTTCATCGTCATGCTGCATTATGTGATCCCAACTTCCTAGGAATATAATCAAACAACTTGAGTCATTTTTGTGTTATTTAAGAGCTAGCCTCATATAATGCCCTTTGATACTGCAACATTAGGCTCAGTAAAACAGCTTACCTGAATGTTACTTTCTTCATCCACCTTTTAGCACTAGAGGGCTGAACAAAGAGAAGAACAAAGAGAAGACAATGGAGCATCAGCCATGGTGCAGGTGGCAGCAGCAAAAGGCCTGCTGAAGATCCAGAGTGTGGTCATGGTGGAAGCACTGGGCAGCTGAGGTGGCCACGACTGTGCAGGGTTGGAGATGTATGGAAGAGGTGAGAGAAAAAGAAAAGGCAAGAAGACAAGGTAGGAGGCAGGTGGGAGACAGGTGGGAGGCAAATAGAAGTGGGTGGGAGACAGGTGGATGCAGGTGGGATGTAGGTGGGAGGCTATGGAGGCAGAAGTGAGGCAGGTGGAGGCAGGTGGAAGCAGGTGGGAGACAGGTGGAGGCAGGTGAGAGGCAAATGGGAGGCTATGGAGGGAGAAGTGAGGCAGGTGGAGGCAGGTGGGAGGCAGGTGGGAAGCAGGTGGAAGCAGGTGGAAGCAGGTGGGAGGTAGTGGGAGGCAGGTGGGAGGGAGGTGGAAGCAGGTGGGGGTAGGTGGGAGGCAGGTGGGAGGGAGGGAGGAGGCAGGTGGGAGGTAGATGGGAATCAGGTGGGAGGCAGGTGGGAGACAGGTGGAAGTGGGTGGGAGGCAGGTGGAAGCGGGAGGGAGGGAGGTAGAAGCAGGTGGGAGGTAGGTGGGAGGTAGGTGGGAGGCAGGTAGGAGGTAGTGGGAGGTAGGTGGGAATCAGGTGGGAGGCAGGTGGGAGGTAGGTGGAAGCAGGTGGGGGTAGGTGGGATGCAGGTGGGAGGTAGGTGGGAATCAGGTGGGAGGCAGGTGGAAGTGGGTGGGAGGCAGGTGGAAGCAGGTGAGAGGTAGGTGGGAGGTAGGTGGGAGGCAGGTGGGAGGTAGTGGGAGGCAGGTGGGACTCCAGTTTCAGAGGACCTGCCAACTCTCCTAGCCAGGCATACATGTTGTTATGTGCATACATGTAGCAAACAGGCATTTGCACATAAAATATTTTTCAAAAGGTATGCTATGTGAGCAAACCAAATCATGTCTTAATTTTAAAATATTACTTAATTTTTAAAAAAAAATATATGTAATCTTTAAACCTAGGTGTGAATGAAATCATTTAAACATTCAAAGCGTGCAGAGATGAGGAAATTGCAGCTGAATTGTGGCAATTTTATCTCCTGATGGCCAGAATGGTTCTATGTTGTTAAGCATCCTTGAAGCTTCAACCGTGTTTTTCTGCTGTATCAGAAACCCAGGCTGGTACTTTCCCAGGGAACTTCTCCATTGCCTCGCACACACATTCTTGCACGCATGCATGCACGCACACATGCACAAGTATGGTCTACATTCTCAATTAGACCCTGACTGTTATAATATGTTGCGTTGTGGTTTTGATCCCTGCCTTGAGGGCGTTTGAAAACATCCTTTCCTTAATGGACTTGAACTTATCTTCACACTGACCATCCTGCCATCCTCTCCTGCAGAGTCAGTCAGGATCCTGGCTACAGCTGAGGGAAGAGCCCTGAGTGGTACTCAGGCTGCTCCACTGAGTGGTACCCAGGCTGCTCCAAGCTGCATCTCTGGTGGCTGCTGTTAGGGAAGTGGAGGCAGTGAGATTGGATGAACTTGGGGTGTGTTTTTCAATCACACTTGCTTATGCTTTGTGTATGAAAATCAAAGATAGCTTCGAGCATGCATTTCTAGGAAATTGCTTGATGCTTGACTGTCTTAAAAATAATGAGCGAGCCGGGCGGTGGTGGCACACACCTTTAATCCCACCCTTGGGAGGCAGAGGCAGGGGTATCTCTGTAAGTTCAAGATCAGCCTGGTCTACAGAGCTAGTTCCAGAATATCTAGGACTTAGACAGAGAATCCCTGTCTCAAAATAACAAAAAAAAAAAAATAAATAAAGTGGTCAAAATATTTCCCATGTTATGTTTTTCCAGAATCTTTTCCCTAAACTCTCACATCAACGGTGAGGTATAGTCAGGCATGAGAACACATGTCTATATCCTCACACTTAGAAGGCAGAGAGCTGATAAATTCAAGGCCAGCCTGGCCTGCATAGTGACCCTCTGACTCAAAACAAACAGTAAAACAAAGCCAAATAAACAAAGAAATAAAAACAAGACAAATATATAATGGAAGAAAATGAACAAACTAAGTGAGACCAATATCCCATGCCCCTCAAATAGGCAGGTTTGTGACAAACATCATGTCAGAGGCTGGGCCACAAAATGTGATGCAGTTTCTTTCTGTCCTTGCCTGGATACTCACACTTGTAACCCATGTGGTATGCTTCAAGAAAGCCTAGGTCACCAGGAGAAAAAGCAGAGTCCCCAGCCCCCAACCTCAAAAGCCGAGGTCAGCTGGCTAGCCCTATGAGTGTGCCTTCCTAGAAGTGTGTTCCCATGCTTGTTCCTGGCCCCTCCTAGCAGCTCACTTACCCATGTCTTTGTCTACACTGACTCTTTGGGCTATTATAAAGACTCCCCAGACCAAATATGCCACTATTTCTGGCTCGACTTCCATTTTGCATGCCAAGTAGCAACTTTCTCCTCAGTATTTTTCTCCTCAGACAACGCCTCATCTTTGGTAACTTGCATGCACCTGCACTGTGCACCTCTGTAACTATTCCTCTGCTGTCCTCTAGGGGCCACGAGCCACATTGTCCCGTTTACATCCTTGATGTGGTCAGCAAAAATGTAGGCAATGCTTACTTCTAGGAAGGAACTATTCTGGATACTGCACGTCTATGTCCCCTGTGAGTCGGGACAGTTCACGGAGGCAGGTCCATGTCCCCTGTGAGTCGGGACAATTCACTGAAGCACGTCCATGTCCCCTGTGAGTCAGGACAGTTCACCGAGGCAGGTGCTGGCATTTGCTCCATTTCCCGAGATCAGGAAACAAAGGCCAAGAACCATGTACTTTACCCAAGCCATTCCCATCATGTGGCCTAAGCTAGCATGGAAGAAAGGCAAGGCAGTGCTGTTTCAGAGTTTGCGCTGAATGATTGCCCTCTGGTAGGGTAGGAAAGGGAGGTAAAGTTGGCGTCAGTGAAATGCGTGTTGACTTCCACAACTTGTATAAATGAGCTGACCTCTCAAGTCAGGTTTTGCCTCATATGTGGCTCATGCACCAGTTGCCACAGTGGTCTCCTCTTGTGATGGTCTTTTCCTCCCTAGACTGCTCTCTGCATGGTAGCCGGAGAGACCTTTAAAGGAATTACAAACGTATTAATGTGCTCTTATCATTTTGCCTTTCCTCTATCTAAGGAAAATTCTAACCAGTGTTATCAAAGAGAAAGATTAGTCAGCTAAGCAAATGGAATTCAAATAGCCTGAACCCTAAAACCACAATCTCAAACAGAGTCCTCTGCTGTGTGGTTATATTGCTTGGTAAGCAGTATTTATCTGAGTAGAACTGGCCTTTCTTCTGTTCACCACCATATGCAGGGAAGAAAGAGCTGTCTTTATTTTATGAGAGAAGAAATCCTGCTGTATAAAAAAGTGTCGCGGTCTAAAGTCAGACAATAAAGACGATGGAGGGGTAGCACGGTCTCTTGTAGGAGAACTGCCTCTCTTGAAATCAAAAGGATTTGCATAGCCCACATGAGCGGTGCACTCTTTAACTTCTGTTACACAGAGAAACTCATGATGTAGCCAGGCAAAGGCTGCTCAGGTTAAAAAGGGGATAATAGAAGACGCTCTTGGATGTGGTTCTCATGTTTCTGAGAAATGTCTATGGCTTGGTTTCAAAAACAGCACAGGAAAGCATCCGGGAATCCAAAGTGAGAGCCATAAGAACACTGAAGACAAAGACGAGTGGAGAAGTTTCTACCCCACGCCCTGCCAGCCTCCAGAGTCACGTCCTTCGTCCCCCAGTGTCCTTTCTCCTCTGTGGAAATCCTCAAAAAATACAATCTTTTTATGGCAGATGAAGTAAAAATAGTTGATAGTCCAAAAAATTCCCCTTTCTGATGGAGCAGAGAGTGACTTGCTGGGATACAGCTGTGTTCCTCTGGGGTTTCCTTCATCCTAGGCATGATTTCAGCTCGCCTGCGCTGAGGATGGGAGTGAAGAGGGCAGAAGTGGAGACATCTTTTTCTGGTATGCGCTCTGGGAAGGGGTGTCCTTCCTGCTCATCTTAGTTGTACCCCTGTTGTTTTATCCGCTGAATAGAAATAAAAAATTGAAAGAAAGAGACCAAACAAGGAGAATCAAGTTTTTTTTTTCTTTAGAAGAGTACCATTTCCCAAGCTCCCAGGTTTCCAGTCTGTGTTGCTAGGTGGCAAGTTGTTCTCAGTATCAGCGTGCATCTAGATCACAGAAAGACATCCTCACTAATGCAGATGTTCATTTGACCAAGTTGATTTCATCCTTTCAAGAAGCGTTTAGGATGGTTCTGAACCAAGGCGCACAGATTCAAGGAGTGCTGACATCATGGTGGACAGAGAGCACTGGTGTAGGGATAAGCCCGCCCATTGGGCTCCCCTCGGGCGAATGTTTACTGATAAATTGGGCACTCAGAAGCCACGCTTCCCTTCCTGCTTCTTGTACTTCGCTGGAACCTTGGTTTCGTGAGTCTTGTTTTCATTAAAGTTGTGCAAATACCTACACAATTTGTCTACATTAATCTAAGCCACCACTCTATTTTGGCGTCCAACGTTCAGGCACATTTGCCCCCGCCCTGTAGCCTGCTGCGCTCACAGCAGGTCCTGGGCCATCGTGGTTGCCGCAGCGCCGGCCGCTCGCTCGCCCGCCCGCCCTAGGCCTGGCCGGGGCAGCGCTGAGGCCATCGCCACGGGTCCCGAGCTGCCCACAGCCGGCACTTTGTTCCACTCGCCCAATTGCAGCGCCAGAGGAGTTAGCCCCTCCCTCTCTGCCTTGACGTTTGGAACACGGAAGCTTAAATATTTGCGGTTTTACAACACAAACCGCCACAGAGGAAGGGGTCACTTTGAATAAATTTTGGTTTTGAGTTGTTTCAGACCGGCTCTCCACGTGGACTCAAGTGGACTCTTTTGCCACCTCTGGCAGGAACCAGTCATTGCAGG